AAATACAAATTTTCGTGGTGTATCACTTAATTTAACACGAAAATTTGCTCTACAACTTTTATCAGCTTTATTATTTCTCTCTCAACCAGAACTCAGTATACTTCATTGCGGTAAGTTATATTTCATTATAGAAAAATCACTACTATATACATATATATATGTTAGATCTAAAACCAGAAAATATTCTCTTGGTTAATCCTAAACGATCCGCTATTAAAATTGTCGATTTTGGTAGTTCATGTCAAATCGGTCAACGCGTAAGTTATGAAGTTTTTTTTATTTTGTAAATGTATATTTCTTTTTTTCAGCTTTACCAATATATCCAAAGCAGATTTTATCGTTCACCAGAAGTATTACTTGGAATTCCATATGATATGGCTATTGATATGTGGAGTCTTGGATGTATTCTTGTTGAAATGCATACAGGAGAACCATTGTTTAGTGGAACAAATGAGGTATGTTATTGACAAAAAAATTCTTTTTTTGAAATTGATGATCAATGTCTTGCGAAAGGTGTCACAATTTCTTTGATTCTGTTTTTTATTACCCTTATTTCTTCCGCATCATTTCATTCCCAGATATTAAAAGAAAATTGTTTAAAGCACGATTATTTACACAAAAAAGGATAAATTAAACAATATTATTATCGTTGTTTATTCACTCGTCAATAAAATCGAAGGTCAAATAATACAACATATATTCATTGTTTCTATTTTAGAAAGAATTTTCTTTTTGAATATATTTTAAATGATTTCCTGTTCTTTTAGTTTGATCAAATGATGAAAATTGTTGAAGTACTCGGTATGCCTCCGACGAATATTCTTGAACAAGGTACAAAAACAAAACGATTTTTTGATCATCTTCCTGATAACACATGGGTACCACGAAAGAGTAAAGAAAGAAGGGTAAAAAAGAAAAAAAATTCGTTTTTAGAAAAAATTTGTTTTTGTTGTTTTCATTATTAGTATCGATCACCAGGTACACGTAAATTACACGATATTCTTGGTGTTGATGTCGGTGGACCAGGCGGTCGACGTGCTGGCGAAGCAAATCATTCCGTACCAGATTATGTTAAATTTAAAGAACTTGTTCAACAAATGCTTGAATATGATCCTAAACGACGTATATTACCATTTAATGCATTACAATCGACTTTTTTCAAACGAACTTATGATGATACATCAAATGTGAATCATACAATCCCAACAACTAATAATAATCTTAATCTTAATAATACTAATAACAACAACAACAACAACAATAATAATAATAATACATTATTGAATCTCAATTCCAATAGTTCGCCTAATCTTGATCCAAGTATGTTAAAACAATTCTTGAACAAATGAAAAGAACATAAACCTATGTCCATACGGAAAAAGTTAACGAGTTAATCTTTGTTTATAGACCATCAGCAAGTAAAAATTCCAGGACGAAAATCCATGATTACTACTAACCATACATTTTTAAATGGTCATAAATGAGCATCGTGGTTTTTTTTTCTTTTTTTTTTTCTTCATCTTCTTCTTCTATATAGAAATAAAAAAGTAGAGATATACAAAAAAAACACATACACATACAATCTATATCCAATCAAATGCTTTATTTGCTCGCTATTAGTATTTATAATGCTTTTTTCATAACATAACATTAAAAATAAAATAATTGAGCTGAATAGAATTATTTGATTATAAATTTTCTATATTTTAGGTCTTCGTTATCGGCATTTAATTGAAACAGTACAACCACCAAATCTTTGGCAACCGACAGATACATTTATGTCGGGTATTCAAAGACCATATCCAGCTAATAATAATAATAATAATAATAACAATAATAATATTTATCCAAATGATTCAATTGATCTTGCTGCACCAATACAATTTCAATCAACGAACAGCTTTTATTCATCTCAAAAAACTCTTACATCACCGTCCGGAACATCACTTCCACCATTATTTACATATGTTCAACCTAGTTTTAATCATCATTTATCATCAAATGTTGACGATAATTCTTTGCTCATACCAAATCCTAGTTTGACTTGATTATTTATGCATATATATATATATATATATGCGTATGCGCGCGCGCTTCGCACACATACATATACACACACATCTTATTCAATCTTTATGTTTGTTTCTTTTAATTTATTGTTTCTTTCTATTGCGTTATATTCTCGCAGTGATCTTTTGCTTTTCTTTTTCTAAAATAAAAGAACACGGCGATGTCTTTGTAAATAATTTGGTTCTTTGAGAAAAAGATTCTTCCGTATAGAAAAAACAACGCGTGTTTGTGTGTGTGT